GCTTTCGCTTTACGGCGTTCTTCTAGAGCTTTGCTCAACTTAGTACGAATCATTTGACACTCTCTATTGCAAAATGGTACGGCTGGACCGCCGGAGAATAGCTGGAAATTGTGGAAATTCTAAGAAAAAAGAACGTATTGAGACTAATATAGGACCTACTCCCTCAGTCATGTCAGCAGACGCTGCCTTAAATTGTGGTTGTTGTTCTTGTAACGATGGGGCAACGAAACCCAGCGATGCTTCGTCAGGTGTCTAAAAAAATGCTTTTTGGGGCAATTTTTGAAGCACACGGAGGTAATTATTACTAAAAAATCCAAGACTTCAGAAAAGGAAATAAAAGGAAATTATGGTTTTTCTTCGAATTTCATAGATAATCACTGTCCCTATGATTTTACAGATATTTCGGAATTGTTTAATGAGTATCGGGGTTTGCAAGCAGCGTAACCGATTTTTTTCGGTCACACCGATATGGTTGAGAGTACATTTAGCACAACTACTACGTAGAACTACAATTCATAAGTAAACACTGTGCGAAATAGTGCATTTTCCTTAATTACCTAGCTAAAAGCATCATTCGGGAGTAGAATTGGATGTAGAAACAGCTGAGTATACGATCTGGCAAGCAATTAACGCTTACCTCTGCCATGTAAAGCTGATTTCGTGCTCCAACACCCTCAAGGATTCGATATTTCTCACTTAGAGAATATGTACGGCATGAGGATGGTGTTACCCTAAAGTTTTTAAAATCATCCCCGATTATCTAGTTGATGTATGAAGTCAAATAAACGTACTTTCGAAAACGAGCACCACGGGTGGTCGGTCTTATTTTTAGGAGAGGTTCTTCAGTTTTAACGAAGCTTTCCTGAAAATATCTACATTGGTGAGATCTGACTAGTAATTTTTATTCAGTTTCCTATATTCTTCTGTTTTTCTTGAAATCTCTATTAAAACTTAGCTCAAATTATCTGAGTTTCTTACCTTATGTACATCCGGCTCATCGATAACCACAAAGCTTGAATTTGCCGAGGTCAGCTCGTCAGTTTCATTAGTCTTTCTTATTGTACCTGGAAACAAATAACTAGCTCACGGTAGGAGCTAATTAGGACAAATTACCCATTTGAGAGGTAGAAATAGATAACTACCTTCCGCTGAGTCCGCATCCCTTGTCGTTGTTGCCTGAACTGTCACTTGCAAGAAAATTCCGAATAAGACGATTAGCAGTAGGTGATCAGTGGGCATTCTGGAATGGGAGACAGTTTTGAGACCTTCTGAGATTTTCAGCATTGCTGTGATTATATATCAACGAAAAATTGTATATTATTGTGAATTATTAGAAAAGGCACTTAGTGCTGCCTCAGAGTAGAAAATGAAGGTTCCTGCTTGATAGATTACCGTTAAATAGCGGGTTTTAGGCTAGCAATAATTGCAAGGTACACTTCCCTTTTGTTGTCTGTGTCACCACGGAGACAACTCATAACAATTGCATAACGTTGAGAAATTGTATCTTTTTAGCGAAATTAATTTATTTTTCACTAATCTTGTAAGAGGTGAGCTTGGGTTAGGGTAGCAATTTGTAGAAAGAGCAAACCTGCAGAAATCAAGGACTCCAAAGAAATATGATTAATGCCAAGCTATTTCATGCCTAAGTGCAAGAAGGGAGTGGCTTTGAGTGAGAATTTGCACGCTAAAACAAAATGCAATTGAAGAATGCCAAGTATGTAGATTTCCTTAGCACTTACAAATTATTGCACTTTAAAAATCCTAGGATGAGTTTTTCTGACTACAGCGCAGAAGAATTAAGCAAGTTCATGTAGAAAAGACAGATTTGGATATACTGAGAGTTGTTTGGGTAGTCACTGATCTAGAAAAATCCAGAAGACACAAGAATGCCTAATTTTTACCTTTACTATTTAATTTTCAGAATTTTACTCATAAATTAGAAAGTAGGAAAAGTGGGATAAGAAAAGGACCTTAAGGGGAAAAAGTTTTTTTAAAAGCATAGTTGAAATCCCCTTATATACTTGAATTATTAGTAACAATACAGGATCGCTTTCTCTAGCCAATAAGAAAACTTGGCCTACCATTCAGAGGTGAGCAAATAGATGAACAAATACGATCTAAACCGAGCAAGATTTCGATGAGTTACTAAATTACCCAGAGAATTCTAGCTCTCCATGTATCTTTTTCGATTATTCAAAAATGATGCAATCCCCAGAAAGATCTCTTTAAGAAAAATATTTACGTGAATTCTCTAAGTATACCTTTGTTATTGGACTTTGTATGCAATAAAATAGGTTATCCTTTGGGAAATAGATAAGAAAACGACAGTTATGACATCAGAATTCTAGTTTACATCGCAATAAATTGAATGGTAAAGGTGAGAAAAACAAGAATACCCATGAATGTTCAGACGTAGCAGAAAATTTGTGACATCAACAACATCCCTAGCCGTTAGGGGACCTCTTTTAAATGACGCCATGATCATCCAGAAGTTTTTTCTCTCCAACTTGCCCAAGTGTATTCCATATAGAGAAATTGGAGCTAGCTAGTCGCTAAAGTACAACTCAATGCAGCCCTCCAGGTGGCTCATAGATAGTTAAATTGAACAATCTAATTTACCGAAAATGAAAGAACTACGATAATGATCTTTACCTACGAGAATGTACTCTTTATCGGAAGCCCAGTAGAAGATCTGACTCTACAAGATAAGAAATAAAACGCCTTACTACTCCTTCACTCGTTATAAATGCAGTAACTAGATTTAGAAAGAACAAATTCACGTCCAATTTTGTTCTCCATGTTAATAAAGCCAGGTACGAATTGCACAATCTAG